AAGTTCCATTTGCAGCCATACATGCCCACGCCATGACACTACCACCACCATGCTTCACTGATGAGGTGGTATGCTTAGGATCATGAGCAGTTCCTTTCCTTCTCCATACTCTTCTCTTCCCATCACTCTGGTACAAGTTGATCTTGGTCTCATCTGTCCATAGGATGTTGTTCCAGAACTGTGAAGGCTTTTTAGATGTCATTTGGCAAACTCTAATCTGGCCTTCCTGTTTTTGAGGCTCACCAATGGTTTACATCTTGTGGTGAACCCTCTGTATTCACTCTGGTGAAGTCTTCTCTTGATTGTTGACTTTGACACACATACACCTATCTTCTGGAGAGTGTTCTTGATCTGGCCAACTGTTGTGAAGGGTGTTTTCTTCACCAGGGAAAGAATTCTTCAGTCATCCACCACAGTTGTTTTCCGTGGTCTTCCGGGTCTTTTGGTGTTGCTGAGCTCACCGGTGCGTTCCTTCTTTTTAAGAATGTTCCAAACAGTTGTTTTGGCCATGCCTAATGTTTTTGCTATCTCTCTGATGGGTTTGTTTTGTTTTTTTCAGCCTAATGATGGCTTGCTTCATTGATAGTGACAGCTCTTTGGATCTCATCTTGAGAGTTGACAGCAACAGATTCCAAATGCAAATAGCACACTTGAAATGAACTCTGGACCTTTTATCTGCTCATTGTAATTGGGATAATGAGGGAATAACACACACATGGCCATGGAACAACTGAGAAGCCAATTGTCCCATTACTTTTGGTCCGTTAACAAGTGGGAGGCACATATGCAAACTGTTGTAATTCCTACACCGTTCACCTGATTTGGATGTAGATACCCTCAAATTAAAGCTGCCAGTCTGCAGTTAAAGCACATCTTGTTCATTTCATTTCAAATCCATTGTGGTGGTGTATAGAGCCAAAAATGTTAGAATTATGTCGATGTCCCAATATTTATGGACCTGACTGTATGTAATTTTGTGCACCCAGGCCTGTAGCAGTATTTCTGCTACAGTGGGGATCGAAAGTTTGGGCACCCCAGCTAAAAATTTGTATTAATGTGCATCTTTCCAAGGAAAGATGGAAAAATCTCCAAAAGGCATCAAATTACAGATTAGACATTCTTATAATATGTCAACAAAAGTTAGATTTTATTTCCATCATTTACACTTTCAAAATAACAGAAAACAAAAAATGGCGTTTGCAAAAGTTTGGGCACCCTGCAGAATTTATAGCATGCACTGCCCCCTTTGCCAAGCTGAGACCTGCCAGTGTCATGGATTGTTGTCAATCATCATCTGGGAAGACCAGGTGATGTCAATCTCAAAGGTTTTAAATGCCCAGACTCATCTGACCTTGCCCCAACAATCAGCACTATGGGTTCTTCTAAGCAGTTGTCTAGAAAACTGAAACTGAAAATAGTTGACGCTCACAAAGCTGGAGAAGGCTATAAGAAGATAGCAAAGCGTTTTCAGATGTCAATATCCTCTGTTCGGAATGTAATTAAGAAATGGCAGTCATCAGGAACAGTGGAAGTTAAAGCAAGATCTGGAAGACCAAGAAAAATAGACAGAACAGCTCGCAGGATTGTGAGAAAAACAATTCAAAACCCACATTTGACTGCACGATCCCTCCAGAAAGATCTGACAGACACTGGAGTTGTGGTACACTATTCCACTATAAAGAGATACTTGTACAAATATGGTCTTCATGGAAGAGTCATCAGAAGAAAACCTCTTCTACGTCCTCACCACAAAAATCATCGTTTGAACTTTGCAAATGAACATATAGACAAGCCTGATGATACATGTTGGAAACAAGTTCTGTGGACCGATGAGGTTAAAATTGAACTTTTTGGCCGGAATGAGCAAAGGTACGTTTGGAGAAGAAGGGGCACAGAATTTAATGAAAAGAACCTCTGTCCAACTGTTAAGCATGGGGTTGGATCAATCATGCTTTGGGGTTGTGTTGCAGCCAGTGGCACAGGGAACATCTCACGAGTAGAAGGAAAAATGGATTCAATAAAATTTCACCAAATTTTGGATGGTAACTTGATGCCATCTGTGAAAAAGCTGAAGTTAAAGAGAGGATGGCTTCTACAAATGGATAATGATCCTAAACACACCTCGAAATCCACGGGGGATTACATCAGGAGGCATAAACTGAAGGTTTTGCCATGGCCTTCACAATCTCCTGACCTCAACATAATTGAAAATCTATGGATAGACCTTAAAAGAGCAGTGCGTGACAGACAGCCCAGAAATCTCAAAGAACTGGAAGACTTTTGTAAGGAAGAATGGGCAAAGATACCTCAAACAAGAATTGAAAGACTCTTGGCTGGCTACAAAAAGCGTTTACAAACTGTGATACTTGCCAAAGGGGGCAGTACAAGATATTAACTCTGCAGGGTGCCCAAACTTTTGCAGACGCCATTTTTTTGTTTTCTGTTATTTTGAAAGTGTAAATGATGGAAATAAAATCTAAATTTTGTTGACATATTATAAGAATGTCTAATCTGTAATTTGATGCCTTTTGGAGATTTTTCCATCTTTCTTTGGCTTCTTTATGCACATTAATACAAATTTTTAGCTGGGGTGCCCAAACTTTCGATCCCTACTGTATATGGTGGTCACGAAGCGGTTACAGAAGCGGTTTGTGTTACGTCGCTGCGTTACTTTAACTGGCAATTGCGCAGTCATGCAACACAAATTAAATTTACGTCCTTTTTTCCCACAAATTGAGCTCTCTTTTGGTGATATTTGATCGTCTGTGCGTTTTTTATTTTTTGCGCTATAAAAAAAAGGGCTGACAATTTTGAGAAAAAATATTTCTATTTCTATATATTCTATAAACAATATTTTGGACTTTTTGCTATAAAACATGTCCAGTAAAAAAAATGTAAAAATCAAATTTCGTCATAAATTTCAGCCAAAATGTATTCTGCGACATGTCTTTGCTAAAAAAAAATCCCAATACGTGTAAATGAATTGGTTTACGTGAAAGTTATAGCATTTACAAATGGCAGTATAGATACTGGATTTTTATTTATTTTTTTATACTAATAATGGCGGCGATCAGCAACTTATGGCGGCGATCAGCGACTTATGGCGGGACTGCGGCGGACATTCTGACACTCGGGGGGAACTGACTTGGGGTCACTGACATCCCCAGTGACAACAATACAGTGATCAGTGCAAAAAAAAAACACTGACACTGTACTAATGGCACTGGGGAGGAAGGGGTTAACATTTTTAGGTAATGAAAGGGTTAACTGTGTGAGGGGAGTGTTTTAATAGGGGGTGGGGGTGTGTACTTCACGGGAACATGCTGATCCCGAGAGATAAACTCTGCTCTCAGGATCAGCGTGCTCAGAACTGACAGAGAGCACAGCTGCAGTGTAAACACTGCAGCCGTGCTCCCTGCCAGTGATTGCCGGTAATCGCTGGGACCCGGCGGGTAATGACCGGCCGGCACCCAGTGATTGACAAAAGCGGCTGCGATCGGCGGCGTGGGTAAGGCGGTCACACGCCTCGTGCTCGCCCCCTACCTGTTTTGCAGAATGACATTTAAAAACGGCGTTCTGCGCAGCGGTGCCACCCTGCCTCAGTAAAAACACTGTGGCTGGTCAGCAATCAGTTAATTTTGGCTAGAGTAGAGATTGGTTAATACACCTGTCTCTCACTAACTGTCTATTTGATGAGTGTCAGACAAAACAATAATGTCTCAAAGATACAAGGAGCGAGTGCTTCAAAAGTTAGGCACACACAGATCATTTAATTTTTTCATTTCATCGACACACAGAGTCGGCTCGGGAGCGAGCCTTCTCAGGTGCCACCATATCACGTTGCTTGCTATGCGGGCACATGACAGAGGGGAGGAGCCAGGAGCTCCAGAAAGGGATTCTGGAAGAGGAGGATTGGGGCTACTCTGTGCAAAACCATTACACAGAACAGGTAAATATAACATGTTTGTTATTAAAAAATAAGGTTTAAAATCACTTTAGGAGTAGCCACTGTAATATAAAACAAAGTTGTAACAAAGCGTTATAATCTCACATTCTTAATAGGCTGTCATCATGTCAAGCACAAGACATGCAGACTTAGAGCACTTCTGTCAAGGTCCTACATTTTCCCTGAGGTTATGTTACTCCATGTCCATCTTGGATTCTGCTGTGCATGGTGGGAATCCTTTTATGCCTTCAGGTCTCTGAGGTCCATCCCCCAGAGGGGCGTGGCTTATGACATATAAGCCTGTGGCCTGCACATGCTCTTTGCACTTGTGTCTTTGTGTTGCTATTACTCTGTTCTGACTCTCGTGACTCTCCTGGTATCTGATTCGGCTTGTGACTTGACTATTCTTTGTATTCTCCTTTGATCTGATCCTCTGTTGCTGAACCCGGCTCGTGACCTGTGATTCTCGTCTGCTGTCCTGTACTGTTTTGTCCTGTTGTTGTTGACCCCGGCCTGTCTGACTACTCTTTTGTCTCTTCCACCAGCTACGCGCCATTGGTGGCAGCCATTACCGCAGCTGAGGTGTCTCGGGGGCCGTGACCTGGTTCCTGGCTGCGTCAAGTCCATCCCCACCATCAGGGGCCCTGGTGAAGGGCAGCCTGGGACTTAGACTCCGCGCCCTGAGGGACTTCGGTCTGTGGGTGGTGGTTGTCGTCAGCTAGTGCGTTACATTGTTAGGCCTGCCTGTCCGTTCCTCGGCTCCTGCCCTGACAACTTCACCACTGTAGTGTAGGTCCTGTGTCCCAGTTTGCCAACTGTATTTTGGGCTAGTTAGGGATCTACGGTGCTGTGTTAGAAGCTCCTCTGTTGTTCTGGTTCACTGACCATTATCAAATCAGCTGGAGATTTGCTTACCTCTCCAGCCCGCCATACAAGGAAATGACAGGCACAAGGTGATTCTCTTGTTCTGGGAGGACATCATATGATGTCCTCCCACTCTAACCGCGCGTGCATGGCTCCGGGGGTGCGCAGCGTGGTGATCAGTGGTGCGCTGTGTCCCTCAGACACAGCGGATCACCAATCAACGGAAAGAGCCGAAGACGTCAGCTTGGTCAGGTGATCAGCTGTGTCCAATCACAGCTGATCGTATGTAAATAAGGAAATGCCGGTTATCGGCATTTCTCTCCTCACGAGCTGTCATGCTGACAGCTTGAGAGGAGAGGAGAGCCGGTAATCTGCATTCCTCAGAGAGGACATGTACACTGATCATCAGGGCACCGATGATCAGTGTGCCCTGATGATCAGTGTAGCCCCAGCATTGCCATCTGTCAGTGTCCATCAATGCTAGCTGTCAGTGCTTATCAATGCCACCTGCCAGTGCCCATCAGTGCCACATCAATGCCACATATCAGTGCCCATCTGAGCTGCCTTTCAGTGCCACCTATCAGTGCCAGTCAGTGCCACCTATCAATGCCAGTCAGTGCCACCTATCAGTGCTGTCAATCAGTGCCACCTACACTGTTCAACAAATTTTTATTTTTTGCCAGTTTTGGAAACAAAAGGATCCATTTCTTAATGAATTTCACATTCTGAGTTCAAATATAACAATGAAATTTGTCAATTGGCTCTAGTTTTTCTGTAAACGGAAAGTTTTTCTACTATAGGCGTAATGACTACATAATGCACAATAATTATATAGATAGATGTCTTTCCACAAATATAAAGCAAGTGATATTGACTACATAACAAAGCCTAAATGGCATAATATATTGCATAGGATTACCAAGAAAAATTATAGCCATAAGCTAAGTTGAATCATTTTAATACTTAGGATTCTCACTAGTTTTGTCTTCAGTTTGTGTCGGTTTTGCTACTCTTGGCTTTTCTCTTGTATTCGAGGAAAGGGCTATCTCTTACAACTGCACGTGACTACACGCTTCAGGTTCTTCCTCACTTGACTCAACCACGAAGGATTCTGGTGCTTTAGGAATTGGTAGCCCCTCTCCATGAGGAACTGGACGTATTGCCGATGGAATATTTGGATAGTGCACAGATAACTTTTTCTTCTTATTTAGCCCTTTTACAATTGAAGGCACCATACAAAAGTAACAATTACTAACATGATCTGTTGGCTCTCCAAATCATTGGCACAGCGAAAGGCATAGATGCCTTTTTTCCATTCAACCATTGCTCCAGTGCCGTCCCACAAGAATTGCAGCATATATGTGGTGCCCAGCTCTTGTCCTGGTCTCCTATCTTGCAGCCAAAATACAAGTTGTAGGCTTTCTTAATCATTCCTGTTATCCTCCTTTTTTGTGAGATAAAAGTTATTTCACCGCAGATATAGCAGAAATTATCTGCTTTATTCACACAAGTTCGAGGCATTACTGAGTAGCCTATATAAGCATAAAACGAAATGTAAAGACGCTGTCGAACTACAATCAGCTACAGATACTGCAGCTTTTATGCAGTGAAGTGATGCAATTAAAGGCTAATATTGCATCATCTCAGTATACATGCAATTTTCTATTGGTCACCAGTATCAATTGCGCAATATGCAGCTGAAGTTGCATCATAATTTTGAATGGCTTACGTCATTAGATGGGTGAATATATCATGGAAACTAGAGCCAATCAACATTTTTTAGGGTCATTTTCGTTTTCAGCACCCCAAAATTATGTAAGATTAGCTAATTTTATGCCCAAAACTTTTTACCTGTTGAACAGTGCTATCAGTGCCGCATATCAGTGCCAATCAGTGCCACCTATCAGTGCTCGTTAGTGCTGCCTATCAGTGCCACCTAACAGTGCTAGTCAGTGCCACCAAACAGTGCCAGTCAGTGCCACCTATCAGCGCCTGTCAGTGCCATATATGAGTGCTGCCTTTCAGTGCCCATAAGTGATGCCTGTCAATGCCCAGAAGTGCCACCTACCAGTGCCTCCTCATCAGTGCCCATCAGTGCCCGTCACTGCAGCCTCATTAGCGCACATCAGTGAAGGAGAAAAATCACTTATTTACAAAATCGTATAACAAAAATTAAGCAAAAAAATGTTTTTTTCAAAAGTTTCAGTTGTTTTTGGTTTGTTTAGCAAAAAAATAAAAAAACCCAGAGGTGATTAAATACTACCAAAAGAAAGCTCTATCTGTCTCAAAAAAAATGATAAAAATGTCATATGAGTACAGTGTTGCATGACAGCACAATTGTCATTCAAAGTGTGACAGTGCTGAAAGCTTAAAATTGGTCTGGGCAGGAAGGGGGTATAAGTGCCCTGTATGTAAGTGGTTAAAGCCACTACTTAGCAGTACTTCACTCCTTCTTCAGGAATAGTGTTTCACATGAAATACAGCTTCAAATGTTACATACAAAGTGCAAGCTATAAATATGTTCCCACCCTAATTGAATCAGGTTGTATATTAACCTTTAGTAACCCAGAGGGTTTTACATCATATATCGCATTGGTAAAATATACAGTATCTGTGCATAGCTGTTATATCTGCGTAAAAATACATCATATATACAAGAAACTCTCTAAGACACATGAAAATATTAGATCTAGTTATACTAAATAAATATGTAATATAAAAAGTTGTACATAATTGACATTATCCTTATATTCAGTAGATTCTTGTATACTGTAAAGATCATGTGCTTATACAGTAATACCTCGGTTTACGCATTTAATTCGTTCTGCAGGACTTTTCGTATAGCAAAAAATTTGTAAACTGAAACGTCGTTTTCCATAGGAATGCATGGAAAACCAATTAATCCATTCCGGAGATTAGAAAGAAGTAAACGTTACCAAAATACAGCGTGAGTTATTTTATCACTTCATACGGTATTTTAGTAGTGACAACCATGTGTTAATGTTTCAGCTGTCAGCGGGGTTCCTCACTGAAAGCTGAATATAAAGAAATTGCCGGCAATTAAAAAAAATATTTAAAAAAAAATATTGTGGGGTCCCCCCTCCCATCTATACCAAGCCCTTCGGGTCTGGTATGGATTTTGAGGGAAAGTCCCACGCCATAATTAAAAAAAATGGGTGTGGGGGTCCCACCCCCCAAAATCCATACCAGACCCTTATCCAAGCATGCAGCCCGGCAGGTCAGGAAAGGGGGGGGCCATACCAGGCTCACTCCTGAGCCATACCAGGCCACATGCCCTCAACATGGGGGGGTGCTTTGGGGCAGGGGGGGCTCCCCCTCCCCCCGAAGCACCTTGTACTCATGTTGATGGGGACAAGGGCCTCTTTCCCACAACCCTGGCTGGTGGTTGTGGGGGTCTGCAGGCAGGGGGCTTATCGGAATCTGGAAGCCCCCTTTAACAAGGGGGCCCCCAGATCCCGCCCCCCCATGTGAATGAGTATAGGATACATACATGGTGCCGCTACTCATTCACAAAAAACAAAAAGTGTAGTGTGAAAAAAGACAGGATAGGGTCTTTGACAAGTACTTTATTAAAAGAAAAAACTAAAAGAATGTCCCCCGCAGTAGATCCAACGTCGGAAGCGGAGCCTTTTTTTAAATTCTTTTTTAGGGTCAGCAGCAGGCATTGTGATTACCGTTGGATCTACTGCGGGGGACATTCTTTTAGTTTTTTCTTTTAACCTTCCTAGCGGTAGGATTATGTCAATATTTCTGTGCTCAAAGCGGTGCATTTTTTTGCATGGAAATATGTTGTTTTTTTATTGTAAGCCTGTAATTTTTAGGAATAACTCACTGAAATCTGTTCGAATAAGAGTCTAGTAAACATCCTGGGTATGATAAAATTTGAAACACGAAATCATAAATTATAATATAATAAATAATCATAAAAAATAATAATATCATAATAAATTTAATTCAATAATGTAATCAAACCAAAAACACTGAAATTTGAAATATAGCGCCAAGTTCGCACATCACTGAGCTTAGTCACAAAATCATTTTCAGTGTCTGATGACGAATTTCCCCACAAATCATTATCACGCAATTCTGCAAGTGGTTCTAATTTACTATAGCTGTTCTCTAGCGTGTCTAAACCGCTTTTGACCTAAAGGGACGCTTTTTGGAAGCCATGGACTTTTCTCAGTTTCAAGGCAGAAAGAACAGTAAAAATGCAGGCAGGGCACAGGACAAAGCCCCCGTACGTCTCGACGCTCGCAGGGAACGGAACCCAGAAGACGGATGCGGACATCGACTGGAGGAGATGGCCGGGGACATTGCAGGGGAGACATTGCGGGAGTGCAGGACAAGGTAAGTGAAACAGTAATCCTGGAGCAACACTGCAGGGTAATCCCAAGTGTAGCTCGGGGTTACCGCTTTTGGTACTGAACATTTACACACGGGAATACCGCCAGGGGGGTTAATAAAGGACTTATCAAAGACATTTTCACATTACACTTTTTGTTTTTTGTGAATGAGTAGGTGTACCGTGTACCCCATACTCATTCACATAAAGGGGGCCGGGATATGGGGGCACACTTGTTAAAGGGGTCTTCCAGATTCCAATAAGCTCCCTGCTCGCTGATCCCCACAACCATCGGCCACAGTTGTGGGGAAGAGGCCCTTGTGTCCATCAACATGGGGACAAGGTGCTTTCGGAGGGAGCCCCCTGCCCAAAGCACCCCCCCTTTGTTGAGGGCATGTGGCCTGGTATGGTTCCGGAGGGGGGGCGCTCATGCTCACTTGCCCCCCCTTTCCTGACCTGCCGGGCTTCATGCTCGGATAAGGGTCTGGTATGGATCTGGGAGGGGACCCCCACACCATTTTTTGTTTTAATTTTGGTGTGTGAGTTCCCCTCAAAATCCATACCAGACCCAAAGGGCTTGGTATGGATGGGAGGGGGGACCCCACGCTGTTTTTTATTTATTATGGTGCCGGTTTTTAAATGTAATTACCCCTTTTTTTTTCTTCACTATAGCTCAGAAACTCAGCTGTGACTTTCCCCCCATCTAAAAGAAAGAAAGTTTTCTTTTAGTTTATTTCCCCGAGTTAAGAGAAACAGAATTTCCTTTTAGTTTCTTAAAAGAAACAATATTTCCATTAACTCCAGGGAAAGTGACAGCTAATTCTGTGAGCTATAGTGAAGAATAAAAAAAAGCCAGCAATTGCATTTAAAAATCAGCACTGACATACACTTCGTATTGTGAAAAAAATTGTAAAGAATTCGTAAACCGAGGCATTATTTTCAATGGATTTTCATTCGTAAACCGAAAATTACGTTAGTTGGCGTTAGTAAACCGAGGTATTACTGTATATAAAATAACATATTAATAAAATAATATATATTAACATCACTACTGCAAGAATTACTATATACTCTGAAACTGAAAGGACTGGCAAATTATATCTACAATCATATTATAATCAAATGAAATATAAATACTTAAAGTGGTTCTAAAGGCTTGATTTTTTTCTTTAAAATAATAAAAACATCATACATACTTGCTCTGTGCAATAGTTTTGCATAGAGCAGCCCTGATCCTCCTATTCTTTGGTCCTGTCACTGAAGCTTCTGGCCCCTCACCCTTGTTGAATTCCCCCCAGAACAAGCTGCTTGCTCTGGGGGCACTCATGCTTGCTTTCTTCCAAGCCACCTCTGG